TTCATGAACTAAACTGCTTTTTCTTTACACCATCATAAATTATTTACATGATGTTATCTATTAAACTAAAATATTTTAAGACAGGTAAAATAGATAATATGAAACTATCATTATTTTTTAGACATATACATGTTTCTTAAAATATTATATGTATTATATATATTAAAATCAAGTTAACCTTGTTATCAAAATAGTTGATTAGAATTTTTGAAATAGATTTTACTTACTTATAGAATATAGTCTTTACAATAATTTTATCATACATAATAAATTATGATATATTGATTATATTTTTTTACAAAAATTCGTTTTTTATTATACAATACTTTTACTATGTTGGTTAATTTGTATTTATTTAAAAACTATTATTATTTGATAATTATAAATCAGAATTTCTTAATTATTTGATAATATTTCTATTGTAAAGGTTGTTTTTAATTTATATATAAAATAACCCATTCGAAATATTTAATAAGCAAAATTAAATTTAGAATATGAAATAATAATAAAATAATAAAATGTATCATTATATAAATATGTTTTGGATGTTGAGGTATTAAATTTTCAATTTTTCTATTATATACACACTAATTTACTTAATCCAATTTTCTTTAATATGTAACTTCTGATATAAAAGTTTTAATAAAACATCAATTGGATTTAAAGGGTTCGAATAGGTTACAATTTAAAAACATGATTGTTTTAATTTGGTTAGATCGAATTTGAGTCTCTTGGTGAAGTAAAAGAGATTTTGATTTATTGATAAACCCAATGGACTATAGTTTGAGCCCACTATGATACTTATTCTGTAAACAAAGTCAACAACTAAATTTAACTTTACAACACTTCTCGATCATTTCTTCTTTTGTTCACATCTCAGACGATCAAAGAAGCTCAAGCCATCACAAAGATGATGCACATGACCTTCTACTGGGAAATCAAAGGTACAATTCTTTTCGATTTCTGGAAAACTGAGTCATGCCTCAATTACATCCTAAACTTACTTGTTTGCATCGTCTTTGCCGCCTTCTACCAGTACCTTATGAACCACCGTCTCCAGTTCAGATCCATCGATCTATCCAACATCTTCATCCGCCTCGAGAGCTGTGTCAGTGGTTCTTTTTGGCGTGAAGACGGCGATCGGTTACTTGTAGATGGTCGTGGCTATATCCTTCAACGGAGGCATTTTTATGGCAGAAAACACATAATGTTTCCGAGTAAAAGGAATCAAGGTTGCTCGCTATTGAGCTGGGTTCTTTCTTTGTAGATGGCTGTGGCTATGTCCTTCAACGGAGGCGTTTTTATGGCGGAAAACACATAATGTTTCCGGGTAAAAGGGATCAAGGTTGCTCGCTATTGAGCTGGGTTCTTTGACCAAAGAAAAGTAGTTAATTATTTAATGAAGTCCAGAGTTTGGAAGGATGTGACACATGTAACTTGAAGAATGTATGAATTAGTGACGTGACATCATAAGATGGATAAAAAAATTCTTTATATAATAAGATTTACTTTATATTTTGGAATGTATTACAACGATATCACTTCTTTTTCATTAGGTTTTGGTCAACAACAATCATTATTTCAAATTTTACAAAAAAAAATCATTATTTCAAGAAATGAAACCATTAGTTTTAAGAGCCTGTTTATGAAAACAGGCTGATATCTTGCCTTTTTACGAAAACACACTGATAGCCTCAACGAACTCGAGTAACAATAAATTACCTTCTAAACTAGATTAAAGCCTGAACCAAAGTCACAACTTAAACGATGGATGGTTATTTTTTATTCTTAACAATGAACAGGTCATGCATCTTAAGTTCTTAACCAAGAGAACAAAAAACTCAGTGAATGTCAAAGCTTTGGTGAACTTACGGTGTAAAAACTTGCATTGCTTAATCGGAATATGCGATGCGTACACATTGCACTTACAAAAAATAATGATTACTACTATAATATTATTATGTATGTATATGAATCCGGAAAGTGAAAATGACAGGTCCCATGTTTAGTGGAATATCTTTTTGTAATTCGGGTTTATTTGGACAAATGATTTTATTTAGGATTTGGTCTATGTCAAAACTGATTACAAATATTTTTGTTAACTAATCACAAAAGTATAGATAAAGAAGAGATAAAAGAACTAAATCAGGGTGACTAGTTTAGTAAATGATGGTTAAATTTTTTCATTTCAGTTATGTTGATCGCTGCGAATGTTTTAAATGCCAAACTATACACCTAACGTCTCACATGCATAACGTTGAAACTAATATGAGGTTTTGCTCTGGACTTTTCCATTATAAAAAGTATAAATAAAAGTAAGTCACTTTGGTAGGATAAGCCGATAAGGCCCATGAGGATTGAAGACTAACCTGATTATGGGAATTGAGAGGCCACTCATATCAGTCAAATTGAAAATTCTACGTCTCTGTTAGGGGTGGACACTTTATCCGATACTCGAACTCGTACCCGAACCCGACCCGAAATATCCGAACCGAAATCCGAACCGAAGTAGCAAAATACCCGAACGGGTATTGAGTTAGGAGAGTTTGGATATCCGAACCCGAACGGGTAATACCCGAACCCGAACGGGTATCCGAAGATAACCGAACATATGTATATATACCTATTATTCCTAGTTTATTTTGTCTCATTTTATTAAAACTATTTATATTAATGTTATATATAGTTTCATATCAGATAATATACATATAATTGTAAAAAAATTGATTTGTTACTCATTTAAAATACATGTTAAGCTTCTTATTTCATATTTTAAACAAAATTTGCATCCAAAATTCGAAAATAATAACCAAAATAATGATTTTTATTTTCAATAATTTATTTTCAAACTTATTAATCGTCTAACTTATTAAACATTTAAAAAACAGTTAAGTTAATAGTTAAATTTTAAATACATGAAACTTAAGTAATTAACAATTTAAATTTTTTCTTTCAAAATCTAAATATCCGAACCCGACCCGAAATAACCGAACCCGAACTAAAAATATCCGAACCCGACCCGATATGTAAAAATACCCGAACGGGTTCTAAACCCCAATACCGAAATACCCGAAAACCCGAAATACTCGACCCGAACCCGAACGGGTACCCAAACGCCCACCCCTAATCTCTGTTATAAGATGACACAACGAAGGCCCCTTTTATGTTTTTTTTTTTTTTTTTTTTGGCACTTGTAGCATCATAGGATTGTTGTTTTTATCATAAAGCAATTAATTGATTGCGATTACGAAACGTGAAGTATTAAAATGTTATTTGTGAAGTTTGGAGAAAGTAAAGCCATTTTGATAAAAAAAACTCTCCATTTCCTCCTCTCTTCCTCTCTACTTTCTCTCTAGTTGTTCTTGCTTTCTCCGCCAAAAATCTTCGTTTTCAACCGGTGTTGGTGGGCTTCCACAGCCACGACGTCGGTTGGATCTGATCTTTTGTTGTTTTATTTTCTTCTCTGTATTAGTTTTGTTTTTTTTTTCATTTTCAAATGTAGATTCACATCAAAATCGATGGCTGGTCCTTATGATTATGGCACTTCTGTTCCAGTCTTCGTTGCAGTTGCTAATTCTTGTTCATGTATTGATTTGTTGGTTATTTAGACCTTAGGATCCACGTCTTCGATTTCTTGGTTGCATGTGCTTGTCTCAGTTTTATTCCTCTGTGATTTAGTGCTTACCTGGGTTGCTTTGTCTGAAAAGATGATCGGTTGGAAGAGGAGGAGCAATAGATAAACCAGTCTCTTCACTGCGCCTTCCTTGGTTGTGTCAATGCGATCCTGCTCGTGGCTCCGATGAGGAGCAATATAATGAGTGATGGCTTGATCCTCTTGAATAAAGTTTGATCTTTGATGTCTTCGTTTATCAGCTCCCCTTTCTTTAGGTTGTTCTTCTCCTTCTTCAGATTTTTATGTAATTTGGTCTGATTTGTTAAATGTAAAACCCTAGCATTTGGTCTAAGTTGTTGTCTCCGAGGACTTGTTGTCCGTCGGGTTTTGTTTCCAGGGAATGGTTCTTCTTTCGCTGGACTAGAACTCCGGGAATTTTGATAACTCGCTGGCTTTATTTTAAAACTGGTGTAATCCTCGTCTTAATAATAATCTAATCCTCTAGTGTTAAAAAAGAAAAACCATTTTGATTTTCCATAATACACGATTAAGTAAAATTTTTAATATAAATGTCAAACATCTCTATAATATTATCTAAGAAATAAGTTTCTTGTATGTTGCTCTCACATTATTTCTTAACATAGTTAATTTACAAAGACATCCTTAATAAATTAAAGTCTTATACTTAAATGCCATTACTAAAATTATTTAATAATTTATGCCAATTAAAGTTTTAGTTTAGTTTCCTTTTTATATTTTTCTCAATAACATATATAATAAAAGAATTAAAGACTAGGATAGCACTAACCAAAGTTTTTGTTCTCAAACTAGCACTCAAGGTCAAAAGTCACAAAAATGTTTCATCTAAGATGGTCAAATGTCTATGTTACCTTTCTTCTTTCTTTAATTAATTTTTTTCTGAAAATTGAAATCACGTTGCCTCATCTCCGGCGAAGAACATCTCGGTTGTTATCATCTTTGTCGTCATGGTCTTCGGCGTCGATAAGCTCGTCTATCATCATCTCCGTCGTCGCTCATATCCATCGCAATCATCACCACCTTAATCATCTCGCCTTCACTCCAATCTGATACACCAAATCGCTTCGTTTCAACATTCATCTCTTCGTTGGATCTAACTCTGGATTTTGTTTGTTTTAGCGATTTTTGAGCTGTGAGGAGTTTGATTTGGTAGATTAGGGTTCCTTTTGTCATAATAACAACAACAACAACAGAGGAAGGTTTCCACCGGGGATTGGATGTCCGGATCCTAATTTTCAGTCACGGAATCCGAATCCGAACCCGAACCCACCTCAACTTCACTCACAGACTCCGTTTCCTCAACATTATGTACAGTCTCGTACTCCGTTGACACAGCAGCAGCAACCTGATGCTCAGCAGTACATTCAGAGAGGTTACCCAGAGCAAAACCCTTAGCAGATCCAACAGCAACAGTGGTCTACACGCGCTCAGCTTCCTGGTAATCCGATCTATGTAGATGAAGTCGAGAAGACTGTTAAGTCTGAAGCTAACAACGATTCTAAGTAAGTGATGGCTGGAAAATCATTAAAATGATAGTTTTTTTCCTTTGAAATGATTTGGGATTAAGAGTATGAATGACTGCTTCCTCTTGATGTGGTGAAGTAGCTGGCTTGTGTTTATTAAAGTTTACTGCTTTATATGGTTTGATTTGAAGTTAAAGTTCGTTTCTTTGATTATGTGTGTTTCTCATGCTTATCAGTAATCAGGACTGGAAGGCAACGTTAAAGCTCCCACCTCGAGATAATCGTTATCAGACTGAGGTATTAGTTATTAAGTTATGAACCTTGTGTTGAGAAGATAATAGTTTCCTTAGAGCATGTACTTTTTTCGGTTGTAATGTGTGCAGGATGTGACGACTATTAAAAGGGATGAATTTGAGGATTACTTTTTGAAGAAGGGTCTGCTAAGGGGGATATATGAAAAGGGTTTTGAGAAGCCTTCTCTGTTCTAAGCCTACTTTTCGCAGAGTGATATGGTTTATCCCTTCTGTTCATGTCACCATCTATTTCCCTCTTCTCGTGCTTATGTAAAAGTTTGGTATTTTGCAGTGTGCTGAATCTGCTTTGAGGACAGTCTTGGGAAACCTCACTCACACATATTTTGTTGGCAATGCCCCAATGGCTCACATGGCTATACAATCTACAGTGCTGGCCCTGACTTTACACCAACTTACATTTTTGAAGAGGATGTCAAGCATTTTCATTTTACTCCATATCCTATCATTTTCTTAGATATTAAACTTTTCAGGGAATCCTTCCTAAATATTTTACTTGTCATCCAAAATATATTTAAGAATCTTACATTGTATTCTAAAATAGCAAATATTTTGGGAACCCATTCTGAAATAACAAAGTCCCTTCCAATGTTTATTCTTTAAGGGATGAGATGATTCTCTATTCTAACTGCATCTTGTGTATTTGGTTTGTTTTTGTTAGTACGATTTTTTAGAATGTTCAGGATAGCTTTCCTAATCATCTAAATCTCAATACCACAAATGCATCAGATGTGGCATAAGAGGGCACAACACTCTAACATTTATTCCGGAAACACATCCAGAAAAATTAAAATGCCTTCCAAGATTCGTGACACAAAAGTGACAATTAAATGAAATTATGGTTTGACAATTAACAGATAATTCTCCTCGGCCTAGCGGCCAAATTTGCATACTTTCCCCATACACTCTCTCACTCCGGGTTCGATTCATGGTTGATTCAAAATCAATTTTTATCTTTTTTTGTCTAAAATCATCACAAATAGAAACTTATCAACCATGCAGATATCAAATCTTTAGTTTTTAATCTCATTTCAATTTATTAGTTTAAACTTTGCTACAAAGAAACACTCTAACATTTTATTCTAGAAACCCATCTAGAAAACTTAAAATGCCTTCCAAGATTCATGACACACAAGTGGGAGTTAAATAAAATTATGGTTTGACAATTAATAGATGATTCTCCTCGGCCTAGCGGCCAAATTTGCATACTTTCCCCATACACTCTCTCACTCCGGGTTTGATTCACGATTGATTCAAAATCAATTTTTATCTTTTTTTTGGTCTAAAAACATCACAATTAGAAACTTATCAATCATGCTGATATCAATTCTTTAGTTTTTAATCTCATTTCATTTTATTAGTTTAAACTTTTCTACAAAAAAACACTCTAACATTTTATTCTGGAAACCCATCCAGAAATTTTAAAATGCCTTCCAAGATTCGTGACACACACATGGGAGTAAAATAAAATTATGGTTTGACAATTAACCGATGATTCTCCTCGGCCTAGCGGCCAAATTTGAATACTTTCCTCATACACTCTCTCACTCCGGGTTCGATTCACAGGATTCAAAATCAATTTTTATCTTTTTTTTGTCTGAAAACATCACAATTAGGGGGTGTTATTCAATCAGTGATTTCAAATCAATGATTAATGTTTTATAATCTATCAAATTTTAAAATTTTAAGAAAGTTTAAGTTGATGAATTTTGAAATCTCTGCAATATGTCTTAGATTTTGAATTCATTCATTTGTTCATAAAAAATCACAAGAGATGATTTGAAATCAATCCAAAATACAAAGAATTTTAAAATCATTAAAAGTTGAATAACACTAGATTTTAAATACTGGATTTAAATCATTCAATGAATAACACTAGATTTTAAAATAGAAATCAGAATCATCAATTGAATAACAGTGGATTGTGTTTAGATTTAAATTTTATTAAAATACATCAATGAATAACACCACCTTAGAAACTTATCAATCATGCATATATCAAATCTTTAGTTTTTAATATTATTTCATTTTATTAGTTTAAACTTTGCTACAAAGAAACACTCTAACATTTTATTCTGAAAACCCATCCAGAAAACATAAAATGACTTCCAAGATTCGTGACACACAAGTGGGAGTTAAATAAAATTATGGTTTGACAATTAACAGATGATTCTCCTCGGCCTAGCGGCCAAATTTTTATACTTTCCACATCCCACAGTGTTTACTAACCTGCATAAACAAGCCAAAATTTTTTATGAGATTTCTGGAAAGCTATCCTGAATCTTAAAAACCCCTTACAAAAAAAACAAAACCCACAAAGTTTCAGAAGCACAAGGAATAAGAGACTAACAATTCCAGTAAGAAAATTCACAAGCCTATCAAAGATATCAACATGCATAAGCCTAAGAAGAAACCAAGACAAAAAGGTTTTCAGTTTTGTTACCATCGGATTTTCTAGAAAGCCTTCCTGAAACAACACAAATCTTTCCTGAATTTTAAAAACACCACAAAATTTCACCAACACTAGCAAGAAGAGACTAAACAATGTCACAAGAATATTCAGGAGCCTACCAAATATATCAACATGCATAATCTAAACAAGACACCAAGACAAAAAAAAATTCAAATTTGTTACCATCGGGTTTTTTTGGAAAGTCTTCCTGAAACTACACAATTTCTTCCTAAATTTTAAAAACACCACAAAGTTTCACCAGCACTAGCTCAACTAGTTCTCGAGGATAACATCTTATGTAGCTATCTAGAGAAAAACAAAATCAGAAGGTGCATTACCTCAAAAACCTTATGTTCCCACAATTTAGCAGCCTTTGATTTGAGCTCCAACAACTTCCAAGGACCTTTCCTTCGCTGGACAATAGAGCTTTGTCTTTACTAGAACAACTTCTCGGGTTAATAGTGGTTTTCTTCAGCTACAAACAGTACCAAACAAATGCGTTCTAAACAAATCAAAATCAAATCAAAATGTCCTTAAAGAGAATTTATATGTGTGTTCTTAACAAATCAAAATCAACCAGTCGATTAGGAAGGCTAAGATTAAGACAGTAAGAGCAGTAGCAATGATGGCAAGAGGTCCGGGAGATAAGCGCAAGACCTGAGTGTTCAACACAACTCAAGGGTGATAGTAATTTAGGTGTTGAATATCTCATGCTGTTCATGTCTTGAGTCACCAAGCCAAAAAAAGTTCAAATTTTCTAGGATTAAATATTCTGGAATGCTATCTTGAAACTACGGAAATCCTTCCATAAACTAAAAGAAATAAAAATACACAAGTTTTCACAAGCAAACTCATCACAGTCCCACTTTGCATAGCATCATAGAAAAGGTTAATTTTATCTTAGCATCGAAGATCTCACAGCATAGCTTGCTTCGTAAGTCCATCTGAGTTTCTGGAAGGCTTTCCTGAAACTACACAGAAGCTTCCTAAAAACTTTATATAATCTAAATAGTTTCACAAGCACAAGAAACAAGAGACTAACAATGTCATAAGACAGTTCACGAGCTTTCAAAAGATATCAACATGCGTATGCAGAACAAGACACCAAGCAAAAGTTTTTTCAATTTTGTTACCATCCGATTTTCTGGAAGGCTTTCCTGAAACTACACAAATCCTTCCTGAAATTTTTCTAAACAATACAAAGTTTCACATGCACAAGCAACAAGAGACAAACAATGTCATAAGAAACATTTCCTAAACACATTTAATAGATGCAAACAAACAACAAACAAATTTTCTGGAAGTCTATCCTGAAACTATGAAACTCCTTCCAAAAACTAAAAGAAAAAACACAAGTTTTCACAAGCAAACTCATCACAGTCCCACTTTGAATAGCAGCAATAGAAAAGATTAATGTGCGCAACTAATAAGAGAAACAGAGTAAATGGAATCATCGCAGAAGCTTAGTTTGTGTGTACTTTAAAAAAAAAACTCAAGAAAACAATAGTTTATAGTTTATATGAGGGTCGACGTTCTAATTCCCCAGAAGAAGTATCATATAGCATCAAATGTCCACGGAAATATAACCTCATTCTATTTACCCCCGAGAATAAAGTTCGAAACCTATTTCCCCACCAAATTAAAGTTATATCAATATTTCCCCATAATTATAAAGATCGAAATCCAAAAACCCACAAAAATGATTTTTACTGGTTTACTGTTTGTAAGCAAACCGGAAACCATGTTAAGCCAATGACTAATCGGATTAAGATCCAATCAGTCGGATCTTTTTTAGTTCGATTGTTGGGTCGGGTTAGTATTCTGATCCATTGGTCGGATTTTTTATTTTGTCTTGGTTTAGTTTTACTCAGTTTATTATATGAGAGTGGAGATTTGAAATTTGGTTTTCAGAAATCATAACTAAACCAAATTTGATGGGGAAATAGGTTTCGAACTTTATTCTCGGGGGTAAATAGAATGAGGTCATAGTTCCATGGATATTTGGTGCTATACGATACTTCTCGTGGGGAAATAGATTGTCGACCCTTTATATGATGCTACTGTAACAATGATAATCTATAAGACCACAAAACAAACTCTTCTGGCTAATCTCACACACAGTTTTCAGACAGTATATTATCACCCAAATTCCAAGGACCTTTCAAACGCTGGACAGCCAACGCAAGAGAACTTTGTCTTTAGCAGTCTAACAAGTTAACAAAATACACTAGTGAACAAAAACAAGAAAAAAATATAACTTTTGTGTGTGTTCTTAACTAGGAAAAATTATAACTTTTAGAGGAACAAGAGAACTAAAACACCATCACACACCACACCGGTTTGAAGCAATATCATATTGGAAAAATTAGCAACAAAAGAGCTAAGAACATCAAAGATTCAAAATGCTTACCAAAATCAAAGGTCAGAAACTCTTTATGAATGAAGCTTTCCTGAGATTTGTTTTTCTAATTTTGAACTAAGAACAACAAAACAAACTCAAATCTGTTATATGAAGAACAACAAAGCAAAATCCCCAAATTTTAGTTAGAAAACCCTAAGAAGAGGAATCATACCGAATTGTATTCATGATTCTGCCATTTTGACGAATTGAATTAGCTTTTGATTTAGTGAACGACGAACTCAATCACAACCACGAGCCTGAAGAGTGAAGACGAACTCAATTATCACCGCGAGCCAAGTCTGAGTCGACAAGAATGAAGAAGAC